CCAGGGCCTTGCACTGAAGCGGGTGGGAGTGACAGCGGAGGCAGGCGGCGCGGAGGAGGCCAGTGGACGACGAAAGCATGGTGTTGGCCACATGGAGGGGCGTCACCTGTGCATGGCCTCGTCGTCGAGCTAGGTTTATGGATTGCTTCACGACAGTGGCTGCTTCGGGGGTTAAGCCTTGATGCACAGTGCAACCTCCCGCTCTCATCTTCCGGGATCTGCTTCCACCTCCGGTGATTCCAATTGTCAAAGGGAGAAGGAGAATAAAAAAGGATCAAGTGGTTGTGTCGATGGATTATGTTGAAGTTTGGAAGACAGAGAAGAAAAGAGTGGAGAGATGACAAGGAGGGGGAGTTGTTGGAGAATATGAGGGAGCTGCTGTTGGCTTGTCAATCTTCATTTAAGCTGAGTGAGAAGGTGATAGGAGAAGTATTATTCTTTTTATGGTGGAGGAGAAGAGTGGCATTTAATTTGATTTTGAGCTGTGCTTTTCTTGTAGGGGGAGGTAAAATGGAGGGGTCCAAAGTCCATTTTGTGATTGGAAAGTGGAATGCATGTGATGACAAGCGGCATCCAAAGGCACATTACCTTTTTCTTTCTTTCCATGTAATTAATATATATATATATATATATATATATATATATATATATATATATATATATATATATTATATAACAGTTTAATCGATATATAATTATTAATTAAAATTTAATTATTTAAAATTTAATAAAATTAATATATTAATTATTTAATAATAATTATAATAATAATTTTTAGATGAAACTAAATATCCTTATCAACGCCACCAATAGCGAACGATAGAGACAACACAAAGACTTATATGAAATTATCTTCGAGGTTGTATGGTTTTATTTTTTCGGGATGAATCTTAAAACACGCTTCTAAGAGTAAGGGTGATGTTAAAGGTTTATAAGTTTTTAATTCCTCTATTCTTCGATCGATATGAGATTAAATGTCTTTATCATCCCGTGATAAGGGTGATCAGATCGAGCTCAAATTCATAATCTCCTTGAGAAGTCTTTTCTGGCCTCAAGGAATTGGTAATTTGCGTACGTACAGCTTCTTTCTCGAGGACATCAAGAACAACTTCTTTTATGGTGGCCAAATAGTTGTTTGAAGGGATACTTAACTTGTTTGGGGCAGTCTGCATATATTGGTCTTTATTAGCGTGCCTTTGCATGGAAAGCAGAGCTCTAAGATCGCTTTAATGGTGGGGTGGAAAAGAAGATGACACAAAATTCACCTCACACTCCTTCCGAGAGATCTCTCTTCATTCCTCAATCATATTCCTTTGTTGTCTATAACTTCGAGACCAAAAGAGAGTTTTATGCAGAAAATTTTGATCTGAAATATAATACGAGAATCATATTGATAGAGAAAATATTCTATCTCCGATCACACGGTTCTACACATGACAGTATAGTCAGTAAGTACAAAAAGATCCCCATCAATAATTCAATCAGATAGATATTAGTTTAATATAAAATTTTAAAAAAATATTTCGTCTATATCATAGAAATTTTTATTTTTTATCTTAGAATTAACTAGAACGTCGGAAGGATCTTATAAGAAATTACATCCGATATCGATCTTCATATAAGTCGATTGTTAAACGAATGCTCAAACCTCTTGTCAAATTTTCTATGCATACGAATCCGAATTGAATTGTGCTGATTTAGATGTTACAGATATTGCTGCGGCTGCTGCTTTGGTAAGATTTAACCCAACTCAGAGAAACAAGCATTAAAATATGCATTTGTTCTGTGCATCCCAATTCGAAATGATTCAGTACACTTTGCCAATAAACACATATCGATCAATCATGGGTTTAAATCTCAGTTTGAATTCTGAAACTTTGTGCTTCAAACGAGTCCGGGCCACAGTCAAAAGCTGGGCATATAATGGTCCAAAAGACACGCGCAGAGGACAGCTCTAATAATTAGAAAGCCAAAAGGAACCTGAGATGCAGCAAAAAGAAGGCTCGAAGGAAGAAATTGCGGTGAAGGAATGCAGAAAGTCCTTGAACTGACCAAGAGATGCATGTTAAAAGTGAGAAGAAATCCACTGCAGTTTTGCACCTTACTTTTACATCTTCTTCCCTCTCTTCTCCAATGGAATAGCCTTCTCATCTCACTGCCCGTCTTGAAAGTAAAGCAGCGATATAAAAGCTTTATCTGGCATCATCTGCCCGGAAGTTCTCATTGCAATGCCACCTTCATTCAGTAAGCCCGGAATTCTCTCTCTCTCTCTCTCTCACATATATATATAAAGAAATTATTAGTTCGAACCCTACTTGATCCATAGTGTCTCAAGACTTTATATTATCTATTCATACAATCATGTTGTTATTAAAGTGTTGAGGATAGACTCTCTATCTTATATATTTCTTTAAGCATTTTCTTAGAGATGGTATAGTTTAATTAGACAATTCGACCACACCATAAAAAAGAATCAAGTTATATCTTAGTAGAAGTCCTAATCTAGAATATTGACCGTCTTTTTTCCTCTCCGGTCTATAGTCTTTTTGAGATTTGTTTGGAACCAAGATTTTATACCAAGATTTTATTGGTGGTGACTGATGAGTGGGGGGAGACCAAAGGTGATTGGAAGATTAGATGTAGGAGGAATCTTAATGGCATTTTCGTTATAGGATTATGACAGTCTTCCTGTAGTCTGACTATATATTATTGCACGCTCTCTCTGGTTCTAATGATAACCCCAAGGATGAAGCTGGAATGTGAAGGAGATATCTTTCCTGTTGCTTCTCCCCACAACATCTGAAATCATGGTGAGGTGACATTATAATTTCTTCCCCTCCATCTTTAGCTTTTGTTTTTGGCTCCAACTAAAGTTAAAGCTTTTGTTTGTTTATTCCCTAATAATAGAATCCTCTCTCTTTTTTATTTCTCCAATTGTTGAAGCGGTGGCTCATCATTTCCCTGCAAAATTTGTTGTCTGTTTAGAAGTGGTTTTGTTCTCTGTTTGCCATTAGAGAAGGCCTAAATTCTATTATTTATTATTGGACAACAATCTGCAGTGACAAAAAAAAATTCTGCCACTTCCCCAGACAAGCAATACTTCTCCTGATAGAATTCTTCTCAGAATTGAACTTCTATGTTCATCTTACTGCTGCTCAGACTGATACAAATAACTGAAGAAGCTACAAATGAGGTCTATGTTATTGCAACTTTTGCGTTTACATCACTTTTATCTTGGTGCAATTTTGATAATAGCAACTTCGACTTCACCAGCCTCGGCTGCATCCTCCTCTGTTCATAATCATATATAGACTGACCACTGTCACTTCGAACAACTTTTATGTGTATAAATAAGAGTCTCTTAACATGAAACGTTTGATGCTTCTTTTGATTATTTTGGAGAAATGCTTACAGCAAACTTACCAAGAGGTGCACTTCTTGAGTTCCTCAAAAACTAAATAACCGATGAGGTTACTATAAATGGCATCAGAGAATACCAATTTTAACTCCAGATATAAGTGCTAAATAGAGACGAAACAACTGCTTTCCAACTGCTGTCTTGCTCTCTTTCGAGTTAGAAAACGCTCTCTTGCTGAAGCCAATGCGTCATCACCTCTCGTGTAACGTTCAGTTGATT